TTCATCTTTTGTGTCTTTGGAAAGAACATAAAGGAGAAAATCTCGTTTGTCCTTCACAGTACTGATTTGAGATTTTTTTAAAGCACTGAGTATTATTTTCTGTTTCCAATGTGGATTTTAATCTGACGTCGTTTTTAGCTTCCCTAAAGTCCTTCTTTCTCATCTATCTTTTAAATTTTATTCTATTGCCTTTTTCTCTGAACCCATTCCCATTCTGACTGTTGTTGCATAGAATCAATTCTTCCGTTCTCTCAACTACGACAAAAGGATTCCAAAACTACTACTTCCACTCTCAAATGTTTGGGAAGCTGTTTATTTTCCTTAAGTCACATTTTTAAAATATGCATTTTGCTTTTTCCTCTCTACTCATCTTTAAATGGGGTCCTTTCTTCTCAGACCTAGAATTTGCCCCTGGTTATGCTATCTGTCCACCTGACAGACAAATCCCATTTTCCAACACAGAGGTTGATGGTAAGGTCACATGCAAATTTCCAAGTCCAGTTTCTAGTTTAGCACTTTTCTATTACAGTGGCATCCTTTTCCTCACCAGGTTCCTGCCTCTCTGAATCAACATCATACATGAAAAACCACAGTATCTACGTATCTTCTACCTAGTGATTGTTTCTGCTCTCGCCATAAAGGGTGTTTATCTCAGAAAGCACCGTGCCTCTGCCTCCTGCCCCTGTTCCAGCCCTAGAAGCTGGGGTCTTGGGCTGAATGAAGAGGAGGCGTGGGTAGGGAGGATAGAGAAACTTTCCATTCCTTATAGATTTGAGAATTGAAATTTGGCCTTTTTTCTGAGTCTTTTTTCCCCCCTCTAAGAGCAAGGGAGAGAGAAGAAGGGAAAGAGAAACATGGATTTGTTGTTTTACGTATTTATGCATTCACTGGTTGCCTCCTGTGTGTGCCCTGACTGGAGGTCAAATCTACAACCTTAAGGTACCGGGATGATGCTCTAACCAAGTGGCTGGCCGGGGCCCTACTGGGTCTTCAGGAGTCATTTTCTGCAAAGGTAGGAGCTCACTGGGGGCTCTGTCAGCCAGGTGTCATTCTGACAGATGCAGTTCCATTAATTAATTTTTAAAAATCCAAGTCTTGCCAACGATGGTATAAAGGAGAGAGTTCTGAGATACTTTCCTGATTCTACCACTTACTGTCCCACTGACCTTGGATGGGCCCTTTAATACTTCTGGGCTTTAATTTCCTTATTGGTAAAACGAGGAAATTTGACCTATAGCCTATTGTTTTTTTAAGTCTCAAAACAGAAAATAAGCATGTCCCCATAAAGGAAAGGATAAAAAACCCAAATAACTAATTATATTTTGCTCTGAGGGTGCCTTAAGCCTAAAGATCATAAAAATCCTCTCACACTAACATTCAAAAATGAAAATACCTGAGCATATATAACTGTGACATAGGTTAGAAGTCCTTTACATTTTAAGCAGTAATACCAATGTCAAAACAGGTGCAGTTTGTAAATTGCTTGACTTTTATTAGAATTAACTGGCATGACCGTTCTGCCCTTTAAGGTAGACAATAGGCAAAACAAGTTATTTATTGGATACAGGCAAGGGTCTCAGTAAGCAGAAAATGTTATACTCATTCACAGAAAACCATCGGGCTTTCCCAGAGCTACGGAACTGGGCCACGTGACCAACTGATCAGTAAGACTATGTATAGAAGGTGTGAGACAGTATGGCTTCGGAAATGAAAAACTTCTCAACTACACACTATGTTTAATTTTTTAAAAGTCTCTGTGATAAATGGACTTTCGTGGGCCTGAAGAAGGCAGTTTTGTCTGATGGTCTGAGCACTGGATTTGGGTCGGAAGACCTGGGTCCAAATGTCAGTTCTCCGGTTTATTAGCACTGTGAGACTTTGGGAAGTCTGGCCTGTCGGTCAGCAATCAGACCTACCTTGCATAGCTGATGTGAGGACTGAGTGGGAAAGGAGCAGCGGAAAGAAAGCACCTTGCTACAGTGTTAGTCAAATCCGAACCTTCTAGAAACTTGTTTGAACAAATAGTGACAATAACTACAGTCAATTACAAAGTAAACAGCTCAGTTATATGGATCATAAAATATTTAGGAACCCATTCTCATCTCAGTGGGGGAAAGGGGTGTATCTACTTGCTTTTAACAATAATGAAAGCAACATACACCTACACAGAATCCAGGGATCCTTTTTTGGTTTTGATAAATATTTCCTGAAACTGTTAATTTCTACATGAGCTGCATTTGGTAAATAATAAAGCACTTTAATTTACATAAAAATGGATCTGATTCACAGCTAAACACGAGGGACTCCTCTGGATTTCTTGGCTGGTAAGAACTAGCAGTACTCAGAATCAGCATCGTCACAGTAACAGACAAACTTTGTCAGAAGGACGGGCAGCCTCCCTGAAAGGAGTTCTGGGAAACCCTGTGAGGTCAGAATGCGTGGATACAGAGTATGCAATTTCCGGAGATGAGCTTGTTTATCATCCCACACGACCTCTCCTCTCTCAGAAAGGGGGCCTGGCCTTCGGTCACTGCCGAGCCCCGCCCCCCCTCATGTTTTGGCTAAGGTCGTTCATTTATATGGAAAACACAACAAAGGTTTTTACCTAATACCACTGCCTAAGTGGCTGAACGTTTCTCTTTTAATACTGGGCATGAAAAATTAACCCCAAAGCAAAAACACTTAAAAGATACGTTTGAGTCTGAAACTTTTAATGTATTCTTTTCTTTAGCGCGGTATGTTAACAGCTTCTAAATATGTACGGGCCTTAACTTGGACCAAATGGCAGCTCATGTGGAGACAATGAGGTAACTCTTCTTGGAGGTCTTCGTTTTTGCGTTTACTGATGCCTGAAGTGAACTGGTGACTAGCTCAAAACTGCTCAGCGATCCAGAGTCCAATAAAAGCAGCAAAGTGGTGCCTGTTGGACAAGCATAGCGAATCTTCTGTTTACTTTATTTAAGCAGTAACATGTGGTCAGTGTTAGCCTGAACAGAAAAATAACCAACCTTCTGCTGCCTAAAGATAGCAAGATAATTTTAGAAGTTGTGAAATTTGAAAATTCAAGAAAACTGTTATTCCTAGAGAAAGCGTTCCAGTCCAGTAAGACGCACTAACTTAGAAGAAGCACTCTGTGACCTTGAGGGATTGGGAATTTGGCTCCCTAGTTCTGCCCCGCCCCAGCTGCAGAAGTGCAACATTGTTCACTTTGGAGACAATCCCCTCGCCTGGTCCCACTGTATCCTCGGCTGGAAAGTGGGAACAGAACTTGCCAAGTGGGCAACCAAGGAGTCCCAGGCTAGTGATCCTTCTATTACAACAAGAGGCTTTAGCATCTCCGTGAACATTATTTTGTCCAGATTCTCCTCATGACCGTCTATGAACATGTTGAGAGAGTGGTATAGGGCTTAATGCTTTTAGTAAGGCTGAACTAAAATAAAAATCAAGGTAACAGAATCCTGCATTTCTTCAAACACCGTTTATCAGTCAGGGCAGATGAACACAGCATATGTATATAATCCATGGAAATTGCCACCATTTCTGTCACAACTTTGGTCAGGTTCTTCCATAACATTCCCCTTTGCAAACACACTCAACAATGGAAGAGCTTTCTTATAAAGTTTCTTGACATTTCTCCATTCTTCACTTATTTTTGCTTATATCTGAGGTATTAGGTCCTGGCTGTATTGGAGGTAGAATTGATGGGCATAGATATAACCAGATTATAAGGTTTGGTTGCCTCTTCACGTTCAACAGTTTAAAGAAGAAAATCTCCATATGGAAGAAATAAGTGGTACAATGCAGATCAGTTGAAAAATATTAGTTATTACTGTTACTGAGAGTTGTAACTAAAACAGCTAACATTTATTGCATGCTTACTATGTGCCTAGTGCTGCGCTAGACCCTGTATAGTTAATTGAATCACGCTCTTCCAGCTGACGCCCTGTTCTCTCTGGCAGAATAAACATCCCAGGGGAGACTGATGGACTCAGGGAGGAGGTACCGAGGAAGCAGGGCTCACTTCAGAGCAGGTGCGGAAGGTGCTGTGGGCACCCAAAGACTCTGCAGACCCTCCCATAACACCCACGGCACCGGCACTCCCGGTGAGGAGCCAGAGGCAGCTGTGCCTCAGGGAATTGGCGAATTCCTGATATTCGTACCCACTTTTGAGTAAAAACAAACGAAAACAAAAAAACAACTAAAGGTAAGTGGAGAAAACACTCAACTTCCCCCACTTTTTTCCTTGGGATTCTTCTTTTCCCTGGCTCAGGTGAAGAGTAGAAAACTGTGGAGCCCCCAGAGGGTGTGGTTTAGAGCCGTCTGAAAAGGCAGATCGGCTGCCTTGGAGCCAGCTGCTCTGCCCCTTCGAATCCTGAGCACGGGCACAGCCACGGAGATAGATACGGGCTTGGCTGTTTCAGCAGGTTCACTATGTGTTACCACGTAGGAATTTAAAGTGTGTGTGTGCGTGCGCAGCTCCACACAAACACATCACAAAGTACCCAAAACAGCGTTTGATAAATGCATTTTCTTTCTCCTTTTCCCCAAGGAGGCATGTCATAAACGGCATTTAGAATGCTGAGAGACAATTCTTTCATTTCATCGGCCATCACTGAAGTTTCCAACCCCCGATTTTTTATTATAATCACTCGCTTCAGAACTCTGGGGATTTACACTGCACCAAAGGTAATAAGTACCAAATATGAGAGATGATTGGTTCCTCAGCTGATGAAAAGCCACTGTCAACGCAAAGATTATACAACCTTTGGAAATCTGAAAAGATCCCAGTGATTCCTGGTGGCAATTTCTTCTTGAGTCTATTTAAATAAAAATGGAGATTTTACTTAACTGCCCAACAGGCTGCAGTCTCTGCCCAACAGATCATATAGGTTCTATTTCTGTTTAAGTGCAGAACTGACAAGAAAAAAATGACCATCCGTTTTCCACAAACAACATATCCTTTGGATGTTTAGCAAAACTAAAAGAAGCTACACCTAATGTTTTGGATCTCCTTTTAATCAAAACCCTAAAATCACCACAGGAAACTGTAATATAACAGTGTGCACCATGAAGTCGTAACACTGGGTTTTAAATATTACCTGTTATTTACATACAGATGGAGACATACCAAAGTTAATGTATATTCAGGACAGATCAACTAGTAAACGACGTTATAAATGTGCGGGAACTACAAAGGGAACAACATTAACCCTTAAGGCAGCATTGGTTGAGTCTCCTCTGAAAAAGGAAGTATTCAGTGACCAGTTAATGATTTTTTGAAAACAATCAATTAAAATAAATACTAAAATAATATTTTGAAAAAGTCATAGGACTGATTTTAGGACTCCTACAATGCCAACTTATACTGGAATTTTAACTTTGAATCAGAAAGCATACACAAGGAACATAATGGTATCACGTTGTAGCAGTCTTTCTTCAAATGTGAAAGAAGGATCCCTAGAAATTATTATTATTAGCTAGCACTCTTTAGGGAGCTTTCTCACTTCTCATTCAGGGTAGCTTCTGGAAAATTCTGCTGATGTCTCAGTCACAAGTGGTCAGGTTGGGTTTTACCTGAGTGAAATGGTTTCAAACTGTAATAATACGCATGGATTCTCACAGCTATGTCCTTAATGCTGGGTTTGCTTACCTGGTCGGCTGCCTACAGCATCGTGTCCCAAACACTGGTGCCAACCTACAATGATGAAATCTACTGTGGCTGAGTCATACTTGGACAAAAATGTTTCAATGCGCTTTAATGAACACATTTTCCGATTTGTTTCCTTTGCAGCTTGTTTTGTTGGGTTTTCCTGGGTCCGCCTGAAAACTACCTTTAGTTTGTGTTACAGATCCAGTGCTATATGCTGACAGAACACACTGTAGGACACACAGAACAGATTTTTAAAAGACTCCAAAAAATGTTCAAATGAAAAGAGCTTTCCCATGGTGCTGAGAAATACAACGTAGGCACTTCTGCTTCAGGAGGTGGTCACGTTTGAGCACAGACCGTTTTTCCAAGCCGCTGTCTTTCGCTACTGGAAATTCCCTCACTGCACAAACCCCCAGTTTACTGGAAGCCTTGCTCTCACACACAGCTTTTGGCGCATTCGTCTTTTTTCGTAAAATCGCCTCTAACGACGCAGAGGTAAGTTTCTCCCAGTGATGAGAGCGTGACCGAGTGAGTCTCCAGCACCTTCCACCACGCAAGGCTGCTTGCTCTGCAGCATCGAGTTATCCATCAACACAAGATAAAGAGGGGTGTCAAGTGCAATTCTCCTTCCGGAAATAGTTAATGTGTCTGCCTCTCTCTGGTTCTTCATTGTGAGTGTAATTTAATAAGGTGTATATAGTCTTCTAAACATTCTAAAGCTACTAGGCTACTGGGATTTTTAAAAAATCACTAATTAAACAGTTTCCTTTTTTTTTTTGAGAAAATCTGTGCTAAAAAGGCACTAGATAAAATAAACTTCCTTGCTCCTGTGTACGTAGCAATTACACACTGTATTAGATTCTATAATTTAACAAAGGTGACACACATTTGGATAAAACATCCTAATTATTCAGACTCATCTACTTTCAGCTTTAAAAAAACCCCAAAGTCAAAGAAATAGCAGGTCACACTGACAGAGACCGGCCTGGCCATGAAGTCACGGTCACCGCCGGCCGTGTCAAAGCAGTGGCCTGGACCCAGGGAAGGCTCACTGGCAGCTCACTGGCAGCAGCTGTGGGAGCTGAGCCTCCTGGAGACCTGAGTAAATGAGACGAAGGTGAAGTTCTCACAGTTTTCCAGCTTGACCTTCTTGGCTAAGTTTGGAACAATTCCTCGGAGAGACCGAAGCCCCATCCTCTGCTCCTCGTACCACACACTGCCCATGTCTATGGCCTCCTTCCGAGCGGTAAGGTAGAAAGGGGACTTGGCCTCCATCTGGGTGGGGGGCCGGTGGATGTACATGTACTTGTAGAGGAGGCAGTAAGGGCACTGTTTGTGTCCCCTGGAATGCTCATGGTAGATTTCCCCATGACATATTCTAGTGGAACCACTCCGGCTCTCCCGCTTGACACTGTCTGTCCGGGCAAAATAGGGCTGGTTTTGGGCGTCTTTAAGCAGCTCGATGTCACCATACATCAGATCTGCATGCTCCTGCAGTGTCCGCATATTCAGGTACTGGCTGTTGTACTTGACCACAGTGGACAGGAGAGTGATGGGGCTGTCGTCCCCCAGACACCCTGCCTGCCACATCTCCTCCTCGTCGGAAAGGGAGAAGTAGATGATGTTGCGAGAACGGGCACCTGACATCCCTGCCTTACTCAGTACCCACAGCTTCTCCTTGAGTTTCTTGGTGGAAGAACTGAAGGTGCTGCTGGTGATGGAAAAGCCCACGCCTGCATTCTTCAGGATGCGGTCCAGGCCTCGGCGAATGGCATGGAGCGAGGTGGCCAGGAAGTCTGAGCCATCACTCTTCTTAACGGTGACATAAAAGTTCTCCAGCAGTTCGTTCAACTTCACTGCAGGGATCTCAAATGAGACAAACACCGGGGTTACACATTTGAGGACACCCACATAGCCAGACCCCCTCCTTCCTTCTCCTAATCCTCACCAGGGGCTGTCCCGTAGGCAAGGCATCTTGTGGCCTCTAGAGGGTTGACTCCTCAGCGTGATATAATGGAAAAAATGGGGAACGTCAAGCTGGAAGATCTAGTTTCCATACTTGGCTCCACTTAATATCTTTAAACCTCAGTGTTCCAAGCTACAAAATGGGCCATAATAACCAACGCCTCCTCAAAGGATTACTATAATGCTTAAGTAAGTATGGATGTGAGAGGTTTGTAAACGTTAATGAATACACACAGGTAAATATACATACACATTTATTATTATCATTATTATTATTAATGTTATTGGCCTTTCTAACTTTCACTATTCCTCTCTGGAAAGCAGTTTCTTCTCTTTTCTAGCAAATCCTTTCCTTTCCTCCCCTTCAATAAAATTCAACCATCCCCTCTGAAGAACTCCTCTACCAAACTTATCAAACTCTGAGTCATTCCAACATTAATTTCCTTGATATCGGCACATAGTATTTGGCACTGCTGGCCCTAAACATGGTGCTGTGGCAGGTTAACAATCCTTGAATTCACTTGAATTTACCAGAATAGGTCTGGAAATGTCTCTGGCTTAATGAACCACACGGTTTAGATGTCACTGTTTGTTCAACATAAAAGAAAAACTTAATGGCCATACTGACAATTTGAGAGAGCTCCTTATCTGGGTATAAGGAGGAGAAGGAAGCTTTGTTTTTAAGAGGGAGCTAAAAGAGAAAACCAGACCTTGCTCAGTGCCCATTCATGCTGAACGAACACACATTCTAGGACAAAAGGAAGCCTCAATAAAAAATGCTTTAAAAGCAGAAACTGTACCGGTAACATTTATTTTTCTAATGGCTATTGGGTCAAAGAGAAAATAACAACTGAATTACAGATTTAAAATAAACCAAACTGAAAACATTACACATCACAATGTATGAGATGCTGCATTAACATTCCAGTAACATCCCATGTGTTAGAAAACTTTACTGAAAATAAGTAAATATTAATCAACTCAAAAAGCTAGAAAAAGTGAGCCAAATTAAACAATAGTAGAGTGAATCAATAAAAATGGAATGGATTAATACATGAAAATATATGAATTGGAATAGATAAAAATAAAGACTTGTCATTTTTGAAAAGACCTATAAAGTTGACAAACTTGTAGATCAGACAGAGAGAGAAAGAAAAGGAATGGAAATACACATAAACAATGTTAGGATGAGAAAGACTGTACACAAAATGAGTCAAGAACATGGAAGAATATTATATACTTTACGCATGTTAATTTGAAAATGTAGAATAATTTTCTAGGAAAATATAAATGACCAAAGTTGATTCCATAAAAGGTAGAAAATTCTGAATAGCCCCAAACAAGGGCAGAGGGTGGAAGGACTTTCAAAGATGCAGATCACTCCCAAAGAGATGGCTTTGCGGAGTCGACCTAGCTTTTCTCTCGCATTTACACGTTTTGCAGCATAGGAAAAGGAAACATTCTTCATTTTTTTCTAACCCAAATCTGACAGATATTATACCAAAAAACAAAGTACATGAATACGAATATAAACTTCCCTAAGTAAAATAGAAGTGCTTTTTGTTTTGCACAGTAGCATATTAAATAAAACGTGTGCATGTGAGAACCCTGCATATAAGAGGGACAAGGCTCTGACACGTGCACAGGGCAGTTAACGTGCTGCCGCGCACAACGAGAACTGCCTCTCTCACGCAGTCGCACTCAGGAGGCGGGAAAGTCACACCAAGTCAAGACAATGAAGGATTACTACAGAGTGCAAGGATGATCTAATCTCAATGAATATTTTAATATAATCGACTTATTCCCATATTAAGGAGAAGTAATATGAATTTCATAAAGACTAAAAAAGTATTTTAAAGAATGTGATCTCCATTTCAAATTTTTAAAAATTCAAGTTCAATTTAAATTGGAAAGGATAATCCTCTTACTATGATGAAGAGTATTTTACAGACAAAAACTACAGAAATTACACCCAAGATGACAACATTAGAATCTTTTTTATAATGTCAGGATTAGGGTGAGTATGCTGAATATCACTGCTATCATGTAACACTGTACTGGAGGTTCTAGCCAACCAAGTAAAGCAAGAAAAAGAAATTACATACACATGTATACAGGAAAGGAAAAAGGCAAAATATAACTGTTTTCTGATAATCTGATTATTGGTCTATGAAACTCCAAGCTGAAAATCCATCAAGAAGAGCAGGATAGTTGTATAAAAAATATAAAAAGCAATGGCTTTCTTATCTACTACCAAAACTAAGTTAACCATGACATCCTAAGTCAGCTGGTTTCAGATTTTTTTGTAGCCACTTGTACTCTCTACTTAAAGAGTGGTATTAACCACTCTTTGTATTAGTTGGGACTTATCTGGTTGCAAGAAACAGATCAAACTTGAATGAGCTCAGGCAAAAGGGATGTCAAAATTAGTAGAGCATCAGGACTCTGTCCCTCATCACCACATCTCTGTGCAGAGCGGTTCTCTTTATATAGCTCAAAACATAGCCACCTAGCACTCCCCAAGGTTTACATGTGATGGCTTCGGGTGTTGGCAAGAGACCACCTCTCTTCAGCAGCTGAAGAATTCTGATTGGCCCACTCTTGATCCAAACAACTGACCAAGGGATGGGCCACTGTACTAACATGATGGCTTTTGCAATACCCACGGGGACTGTAGGAGAGAGATGGCTCCTAGATAAGGGGTTCTGAGTAGAAAATGTTATTTATCACCTTAGTGCTTAGAAACCAAACAACAGCAACAACAAAAACTAACTTCTGATAGCTTCTTGTGGCCCTTAGGATAAATTCCAAACTATTTACCTTGCATGCAAGTCTTCGTAATCTGGCTCTACTCTGTGGTAGATTATTTCCAAATATAGTCACAATAATTCCCCCCATCCCTGTCCCCAAATCCCTCCCTCCCCCTGCCCCACTGTTCCCATGCCCCTTTGCAACCTGACTTTGCTGCTCCTCCCATCAAGAGGTGGAATCTATTTTCCCAATCTGGATTGGCTGTGATTTACTCTGACTCATAGAATGTAGCATGTGACAATGTGTGAATTCCAACCTAGGCCTCAAGAGATGCTACTTTCATCTACTTTTGTTTTATAATTCATTATAAGTTCTGCTTTCATCTTCTTAGTGTGTCGTTGCCGCTGAGGAAGCCCCATTAGACCATGGGAACATGTAAAGCAGAGGGAAGCTGCCTTTGTCTAATATCCAGATGACTGCACCCACGTGCACATGCCAACTGAGCCCAGCAGAAGAACTGCCCAGCTGAGCACAACCCACAGAATCATGAGCAAATAAAATGAATGTTGCATTAAGCCACTAAGTTTTGGGGTGACTTGTTATGCAATGGTAAATAAATGGTAGACACAGCTTTTCTCTAGCCTCATCATCTGTTCTTTTTGTGCTCTATTTCCAGCCTCATTCTGTGAGTGAACTTTGTGTCATTCACAGAAACCAAATGCTCTTTCATTCTTCTCTATCTTCTAACTTTCTCTAAGTGGAAAATCTCAATTACTTATTTCAAATCTAGCTCAAATTCTGCTGTCTTATTAAAGGCTTCTACAGCTTCCCTAAGCAAAGTTACTCTCTCACCTGGGATCCCACTGCACTTAAGCTTTGTTATGGCCTCTCCATAGTGCACAGCCTTTTTTCTACCTATATATCTGTCTCTCTAAGTGGACTAAAAGTTCCTTGAAAGCAAGAACTGTATCTTATATATGACTAGGTCTTCATCACATGCCAGAATCCCTGAACTATATCATGAACCAATGAACTGATTGATAAACATGGGTTAAATCAATAAATTAACCTTGGTATCAGGAGAACTAAGCTGACTTATGAAGCATAACATTATTCTGGTTTACAAAGAATACAAGTTTCAAAGAAAACTAGTTGCAACAAGGCAGTGAACTGGTGGACCAGGGTGGGCAAGGCAGTGGCTGGAGGACCAGGGCAGGTGAGGCGGCAGCTGGCATACCAGGATATCCTACATTCACTAGTGGATAATCCGGGAGGAACAACTGGAGAGTGAGACAGACCGCACAACCCAGGGTTCCAGAGCAGGAAACTAAAGCCTCAAAACCTCTGGCTGTAAAAATTTGTGGGGGTTGTGGAGGTGGGAGAAACTCCCAGTCTCAAAGGACTGTCTGTTGGAGAGGCCCATAGGATCCTAGAATGTACACAAGCCCACCCTCATCGGAATCAGCATCTGACAGAGCACAATCCACTTGTGGGAAGCAAGTGAAATGACTAAAAGCAGGGTGACAGCCAACCAAGCGGCACTGTTCTCTCTCTGACCCCTCCCCCAAATACAGCACTACAATGCAGGCAAGTGGGTTGCCCTGCCCTGGAAAATACCTAGGGTTCTACCTATTACAACATAACAGGTGCACCAAGACAAAGAAATATGGCCCAAATGAAAGAACAGATCAAAACTCCAGAAAAAGAACTAAGCAATGAAGAGAGAGCCAACCTATCAGATGCAGAGTTCAGAACACTAGTAATCAGGATGCTCACAGAAATGGTTGAGTATGGTCACAAAATAGAGGAAAACGTGAAAGCTATGCAAATGAAATGAAGAAAAATATACAGGAAACCAACAGTGACGGGAAGAAAACTGAAACTTTGATCAAAGATTTGGAACAGAAGGAAGAAAGAAACATTCAACCAGAAGAAAATGAAGAAGCAAGAATTCAAAAAAATGAAGAAACACTTAGGAACCCCCAGGGCAACTTTAAACATTCCAACATCCAAATCATAGGGGTGCCAGAAGGAGAAGAGGAAGAGCAAGAAATTGAACACTTATTTGAAAAAATAATGAAGGGGAACTTCCCCAGTCTGGCAAAGGAAATATACATGCAAGTCCGGGAAACTCAAAGAGTCTCAAAGAA